CAGGATAAATGCTCAGTGGATCAAAGCATTTGAAATCTAATGTGTTGCTTGCTCTTCTCATGGGCCTAAAGGAGACAGGTAGAAAATGTAGAGCATCTACCAGTAGGTCATCCAAAGGAATAAAAGAAAAACCATATATGCTCTTAAGATCCAGAGCTACCCAGTGGTACCATTTAACAATGGAGCTCTTCCATATCTGTCTCTCTGTCTCTGTCCCTGTTTTTCTTGTTATCCCTCTCCTCATTCCTTCTCCAGATATTAGATACAAACATTATAATTGCTGATATTTGGCCACTTCTCCCCCTAAATTAATGGCAATTTAATCTGGTTCATTTTAATACATTGCTAAAATAGGATCATGTGGAGCATACTGTTTTTAATGTACTTTTTATAATTATGATATTGCTAACATCTTTCAAATTCATTAAATATTCTTCTCTAAAACCACTTTAATTGATGCATAGTATTCCACTATATGACTGTACCAAAAATAATAGTCTTCTATTACTAGAAAATTAGCTGTTTTTTAAATTTTTTGTTATTATAAAAGGTGTTGGGATAAGCATCCTTATAGCTTTGGAAGGAGTAAAATGTAGAATACAAGCTCTGAAGACAGGTCTTGTGCCTCACTGCTCACTACCTGTGTAACTTTAAGCAAGTCAACTGGGTCACAGTTTCTTCATCTAGAAAATATAGATAACAGGCCTTGGATGGTTTGGCTCAGTGGAGAGAGTGTCGGCCTGTGGACTGAAGGGTTCTGGATTCCATTCTGGTCAAGGGTACATGCCTGGGTTACAGGCTCGAGCGTGCAGGAGGCAGCCAATCAATGATTCTCTCTCATCATTGATGTTTCTGTTTCTCTCTCCCTTTCCCTTCCTCTCTGAAATAAATAAAACATATTTTTTAAAATGTAGATAACAAGATTCCATCCGGTTACTGTGCTTTAGAACGGCTGTAACTATTATTAGTTAATCAGGGTACATTGTTATTGTCTTTACACAAATATATTTATTTATTTTGGAAAAACTCCAAAAAAGGAATTTATGAATCAAGGGCTTTAGATACACTTTTCCAGACTAATCTGTAAAATGGATGTGGCAACCTATTCTCCTGTAGTAGAGCCTAAGAGTGCTGCTTCTGCCCAGCTGGTGTGGCTCAGTGGTTGAGCATCAACCTATGAACCAGGAGGCCATGCTCAATTCCTGCTAAGGACACATGCTGGGGGTGCAGGCTTGAGCCACAGATGGAGCTGTTCAGGAGGCAGCCAATCGGTGAAGTTTCTCTCTCATTGGTGTGTCTATCTTTCTATTCTCTTCCTTCCTCTCTAAATATTAATAAAAACATAGTTTTTTTTTAAAAAAACAACAACAAAAAGAGTGGTCGTTCTCACAAAAAGGGAAAGGTTATCATTATCATTGTATTAGCCTCATCTTTACCATTACCTTGCTTCATGCCTCAGGTTGTGCAGTCTTGCGTTTGATATCCCTGAAATCAGAATGCATCTAACCATTATTGTCAACCAGGGGCTGCCATGAAACCTTCTGTTGTCAACAGAAGATCAAGAAAGGGTGTCAGTGTGTCTAAACACCTGTGAAATTCAGTCTTATTGGAAAGTCATGAAGAGATATAAGTGGATGTAGTATAAAATTCCTTTTATTTCCAAGTTATTTTGAGAGCTTAATAGAGCGAACTGTCCATGCTCACGTCTGAGACCCTGATGAATCATCTCTTGAAACATCTGCAGGAGTCTGGGCACACCAAATCCGACAGCCCACCTCTAGCTGTTAGCTCAGTAAGAGCTGAAAATGAGTCATCACTCTCTTACTTGCATTTGGGTTTTTTTCAGTTTCATCTGAAACAAAATCTTGTTCATTTACCTTTTGTTTTTATGATTTTCCAGCTACTTCAATGTTAACTACATTTCATAAGTGGTCGGTAACCAATCCAGTCGCTTTTTCTTCAGGAGCACAGCACTTTCCCCCTTGAGATCAGAGTGAGGTTTTAAGTAAAATAAGTCAGATGATTTGAGTTCAGAGTCTCTCAAGACTGCCTTTCCAAGCACAGTACTTGAACTCAGGATAATTGGTTAAGCTTGGTGCTAGACATAAGGAACTCATTCTGCCTATGGTCTAGAATCTAGACTCTAGATAGACAGTCAACACACCCCTGAATTTGTAGGAACCAGGGGAGAAAGCTGGCCTTTGTGCGATGAACTGTGTAACTCGCTGGGATCCGTTGAAAAATGGATGTGTTGACGTGGTTAAATATGACAAATGAAGAAAGGAAGTCTCAGTGATGCCTTAATTCAAGCCAGGCTTCTGTGTCCCGCTCTTCCACTTCCTATTTGTCTGAAACTTTCTGTGTGCGAATTTCCCCCCAGCATCGCCCCTGTGGGTGACCAGTGAATACATTGTGAGGTCCGTGCATGAGGGGCCTTTTAGGGAAACACAGCCTCCATGGATCGGGGGCCTTTTAGGGAAATACAGCCCAAGGGGAGAAGCTGTCACTTCAAAGCATACCACAGTGCTTAGATAGAGCCAGGAAATTAACCATGTCTGCATGATAATATTCCTTTAAAAGTCTGAAACCCTTTCTTTGATGCTGCGGGTTATCAATCCCTGCTATATACTTGCTTCTATCATGAGATATAGTCAGGCTTTTCACTTTTGTTTTTGAATTGAATCCCAAGAAAACATTAACTGGTCTCTCTCTGCCTTGCTGCTCTGCTAGGAGAGAAGCATTTGGATGGGATGTGGAAATGGGTCAGAGGAGAGGAGAGACCAGCTCTGACCCCTGTACCTCTTCCTGCCCCTCACCTGGTGTTGTCAGACATTCTGTAAAACACATGGGCTCGGCCTATTTGTATCACAGTGTCACCATGATTTTTTTTTTAAAGCCTTTGACATCATCTTGATGCCCTTATCAAGGAAATTTTTTAGCTAAAATTATTTTTTTGTGTCAATCAATGAATCCTCTATTATACATAAGGGGAAAAGCAGGTACTTAGTATCTGAGGCTCCTGGAAGTTAAGAGGATATGGGAACTTGGAGAGAATTTAGCAAAGAAAATGAGTGAAATTGAATAAACTTTAAAAAAATAAGTAAAAGTTTTGCGACTATAGTATTTAGTCTAGCAAGAGCAAGTTCAAGGATGCATTCAGATTCCAGGGATAAGATCACTTATAATACAGAGAACAGTGGTGAACTGACTATACTGTAAGGAAGGCAGGAGGAAAAGGGATCAAATTACAGGAACAAAGATTTTTTTTTCTTACTCTTAACATCAATGGGCCAGGGAACATGTTATATGGGACTATGGAATTCATTTTAGTGGACCTTAAAAACAGGATAGGTGCTCGCCTAACTGGGATCACTGAGAGAATATAAAGGAACATACTACGTAATTTAAAATAAAATAAAATAAAATAAAATAAAAATCCTAGATTGAAAAAGTTAGAATTGAAAAAAAAATTCTTCATCCATATCAATAAGCAATAAAAGAAACAACTCATATGAATAACAAATAGGCTTAAATCTCATCTTGGAAAGGCCACCTAATCTTATTTTCAGAAAGAAGATTGTGCGTTCTTAGGTAAATTGCTTTCTTGATCTGCTTTAGGTTCAAGAATTCTCTCTCATTGTTTTTAATTGTGTTAAAATATATTTATTGAAGTACTAATGAGACCGAAGCCATACTGATTAAAAACAGAGTTATTCATTTCAACCTTTTGATAGTATGGAATGAAAGCTAGGTTCTCATATTAGAAGATGAATCCTGTATGTCTAATTTGTTGTTTGCCATGTGCCTAATTTTCATTTGTTTTTTTCCTTAATAGTTCATTTCAGGTCTGTTGAAATTACAAAATTTTTATGAAATGACACTTTTTTTTTCCATAAAAGCAATTTATCCTAAGAGCTCTAGGCAGGGTGCATCTTCCCTTGTGATTTTTATAGCATCTAATTAATAAATAAATCCACGACTGGCTAGGCAATGCATATGAAGAGTAGGTTTTGCTTATCATCACCCTTTATAATTTTTAGACCGTTTGGGGTTGAGGGTTTTTTCCCTTCCCTCTTCCCCTTTTAGGACTCATTGACTTGAATTACAGCCACTCTTCCTTTTCTTTGCAACTGTACTTTTAAATCTATCTTTCAAATGGTGTGTGTTTTTTCTTCTGCCTTTGACTTATCTGGTTTAATGGGCCTATTTATTTCTTTATTTACTGTCGATTTTCTGTTTCATTGTTGTCTTATTTTTAAAATAAGTCAGTGAATTTAAACATTTTAGTCAAAGCTTTTCCTGCCTTTTTGCTTACGTCCCAGTCACATATTTTAATGGCTACTTTGAAAACAGTTCAGCTTGGAGAGAGCTCAGCTCAGACCCAGAGCAGGGCCAGTCCACGCTTCCACTCTGCCTGTGGGTCCCCTTTTGGTCTTAGTGATCACCTCACTGACCTGACTTCTTGCCATCCTCTCACTGTTAGCTCCTTCCTGCCCTTTCCTTACATATTAGCCAGTGACCTTACTAGGAAACATACCCGCAGTGTTCTTCATTGCTTAAAACCCTTCACTACCACTTCCTTGTCCAAAAGATGCAATCCTACTTCTTAGTATGCATAACCGTCCTGCATGAGCCGACCATTCCTACCTGCCAGGCCAACCTCAACTCCCCCCATCACCGCTCACACCCTGCCCTAGCCAACCACACCGAAGTCCACACTTGGGGGCAGGGAACAGGCTGAGCAAGGCATGGAGTTGGAACTTCATGGAGTTAAGCTTCAGCAGCAGAGTGATGGGAAGTGGCTCACTTAGTGCTGAGCATCGGTGGTGAGGCATTGCCCTGGGTGGGTGCTGGGGCCCTCACGCCCAGCTAAGGAATGGCGATGGAGGGATCATGAAGCTGTTTTCTCTGAGAGAGAGAGAGAGGAAAGCTCATTCTGAAGAGGTTGCCATGACCCTTCCCACACTCTGATGCCCTCCGTGTTTCTTTCCCAACCTCAGCCTGCGATGGCGATCACTGGGGACCGCACTGCAGCAGCCGGTGCCAGTGCAAAAACCGGGCCCTGTGCAACCCCATCACGGGGGCCTGCCACTGCGCCGCGGGCTTCCGGGGCTGGCGCTGCGAGGAGCGCTGTGAGCAGGGCACCTACGGGAACGACTGTCACCAGAGATGCCAGTGCCAGAACGGAGCCACCTGCGATCACATCACAGGGGAGTGCCGCTGCCCACCTGGGTACACCGGAGCCTTGTAAGTGACAGGCTGCTGGGCTGCGTGGCAGAGCCCATCCCCTCCCTGCGTCCCTGCTGCCGTCTTATTCCTGTGCTTCTGTTTCTGTTGCTGCCTGAAGAGTCACTGAGAGGGCAGGCGTCCATGCACAGAGGTGGGATCAGCAGTGATGGCCACGAGGGGATCCTGCTGTTGGACCCTTGAGCACCAGAGCCCAGCAGAGCCTCAGGGCCAGCTTCCATGCCTTGCTCTCTGCAGGACAAACATAGAGTGGGCCCGGATGTTGCACTGGATGGCCAGTTGGGGGTTGTTGGGGCAGATTTGAAGTTCTACTTAATACCCCCACAATCACATTCCTTTGATACCACTGGCGCTAATGGTCTATGTTTTCCTGTTCTGTGTGGCAAATTAACTAGCTGGATAAAACAGGATGGGTTCAGTGCCTTAGAAAAGAAGAAAGAGAGAAGTTGTTAGAAATAGCTCATGATAAAAGGAGAACTGGGTTAATGAATGCCCATAGGCACATATGTTGTTTTGTGAATATAAAAGCCTATGCATCACATCTGTATAGGATAGTTAACTCCTTCCGGAGAACACAAAGCAACTACGGTACTTAACCTCCACTTACTTTTGTGGGAAGGACAGTCTTTGCTTCGTACAGATGCTCTCCCCCCAACTTGACAATGCTCCAATTTAACAATTTTCCAAATTTAGGATAGTGTGGAGCGATACACACTCAGTAGAAACCGCACTGTGAATATTTTGAGTTCGGTCTTCGCTAGGACTGCTGATATGGTGTGATAGTCTCTGGTGACGCTGAGCCACAGCTCCCTGATGACGAGGGTGAACCTCTGGTACTCTAGAGCATGTTTATTGTGTTAGGTGATTTTGCCCAATTGATGGCTAATGGAAGTGTTCTGGGCACATTTAAGGTAGGCTGTGCAAGTGACAATGTTCAGTAGGTTAGGTATATTCACTGCATTTTGAAGTTATGTTTTCAATTCATGATGGGTTTATTGGGATGTAATCTCATTGTAAATTGAGGAGCATCTGTTAAAGCAAACAGAATTTGCAAAAAAAAAAAAAAAAAAAAAAAAAAAAGTAGGAGATGGAAAAATCTTGTTCCCTTACTGAGAAAATTATACTTGTAAATCATAGAACTAAAACTTGGGGGGAAATGGGGCTGATTAGGTAAATACTTCCTGCTGACAGTATTGGGGCTATAAAGTAGAGCTGGAGAAAAAGTGCATTAGCTTAGAAAGCCCTAATTTTCAGAAGAATGAATGACCATCCCAAATGATTTAATTGTTAATATTGCTTCTGTGGGTTCTCATTAAGACCACATTTGAATAGGGCTTTGAAAACTTGGAGCAGTTTCACCAGAGAGAAAAAAAGGCAAAGGCTTAGAGAAGAAGGTTGGTTCATACAATGTGGCACAGGAGATTAAGGCATGGAAACCGGTCCATCTGAAGGAGAGGATGCTGAAAATTGATTATGAAAAATATGTGCACAGAGTGGAAATGTGCAAACATTTCAATCTCCTTCAAAGTTAGAACAAACGCATAAACAAAAGTAGATTTCCAGCATGTGGGCTTTAAGAAAGTTACATTGAAAGTTCCTGACACCAGGAGTGCTTTGCCAACCTGAGTCGTTCTTGGTGCTCTCAGAGGACAGATTCTCCCCAAATTGAAATGATTTTATCAGACAATACCCTAAAACAAGGGGAAGGGCCAGGTTATCCCTTAAAGACCCTTCCAGCCAATATGATCAGCGCTCTAAGTGTTAATGAAATGAACAACATTGAACAGAGAATGAACAACATTGAACAGAGAAAGGACTCTGGGTGCTGTTGTGTCTGTGAACCTAAGGCTTGTGTGGTTGAAACAATAACGGTGTCCTTTGTCACCCATTAATCCCTCAGCTGTGAGGATCTTTGTCCCCCTGGCAAGCATGGTCCGCAGTGTGAGCAGAGATGTCCCTGCCAGAATGGAGGAGTGTGCCATCATGTCACTGGGGAGTGCTCCTGCCCTCCTGGCTGGCTGGTAAGCTCCCCTCCTCCCTCCGCAAGTCACCTGTCTCAGGACATGCAGGTGAAAACACACATGGAGGACGTTTGCACAAAAACAGAGTTACACTCATGGTTAAAGATTCCAAAACTGGAAATACCCAACCACTTCAAAGCTGGAACGCTTCCTGTCCAGAGATGGCAGAGGGTGATTCAGTCCTGAACTTGAAGTGCAGTAAGGGCCCTCATGGAAAAGACAGTGGGCCGTCTGTCCTGCATTTCCCCTCAGGGTATAAAAGGGAAATAGCTCCTCTTACATATGGCAGCCAGAGCTGTTAAGCATTGTGCATACTTAAATAACCATTTTCATAATTACGTTCTATTGATCACTGTTGTTTTCTGAGAGTGTTATTTTCAACAGAGTAAGTGTTTTATGAAAAAGTTATCTGGTCATATCAATCTGGAGATACTTTCAGGGAAACCAGATTTCCCAAGTGTTGCAGAACGTTTTTAGAGCCTTTAGTATCATAATCCAAGAGGAAGTTATAACCTTCCACAATTGTCATACTTTGACCATGATACTCTTTCTTTATGTGGCATCACACAATCTCAATGTGATGTGCAATGCACAATGCCAAAACAGGTTTACAACTAGATTTCTCTGAAATGAGGAAATAATACTAATTCTTATTCCTCTGAGATGGTTTGTGCCTTCAGATAAGTCTGCCTGAAGGCAGAAGAGTGAATAACCAATGTCTGCTTCCTTTATTAGCAAACAAAAAATAAAAGAGCAATTTACTTCATGATCATTTTCTATCTCTATAAGGGGGTGAAGCTGCTCTTATATGGTAAATTGACTTCTTAATTGCCAAATCCATTCTCATTCCACACTTCCATTCTCATTAGCATCACTCTCCAAAGCTTTTGACCCTGCTTCTCATCCACTTCCTTCTGTTAATCTCTTTTCCCTGATAACCCTCTCTCCTACCTCTCACTAAAGATCTCCTTTCCTAATCCTTCTCCTCATACAAATCACTTTATTGTATTATTCTCTAGGTTTCAGTTTTGTCCTTCTCTATTCTTGATATAAATCTCTGAAAAATCTCATCCAGACCCATGGTTTTGAGAGTCATATGCTGATTTTTCCAAATTTTAAGTTTCCTAGACAAGTGTCTGTCACTATCCTGCTAGACACCCCAACCTAGATTACTATGTATGAAGCCACCGTCTGTCTAGGTGATGCCCAAGCTGGAGGCTTAGGAGCCAGACATGGGATGAAATTGGTCTAGTATTACCCTTGTTGTAAGCATGGAGCAAAGGAGAGCTGGAGTCCAATTCCCAGGAAATTATGGGAAATAAGGGAGAGGTCAAGAAGTTCAGACCACTGGGACAAATGGAAACCAAATATCATACCCAAGGTGTGAGTTAGAAATGGTAGGCAAGACAAAGTCTGATTCTGGAGACAGAGCCTGGAGAAGTTTTATGAAGTGGTAGAGTGAGAGTGAGGGGCCTTTTATTGGGCACCGATGATAAGGTGGACAAGGGATCATGGAAGGAGCACTGAGGTGGTTCAAGCAGGCCCATCAAAGTCCTTGTTAATAAAACCAACTTTATACACCCAAGCCTTTTTTAAGCCTGCTCATCTTCTACTTTGGGAAAAAGAAAATCTAGTTAAAACCAGTATTTCTCTCTTAGTGGCCCAAGGTAGAAATGTAGAATTATCTTTGACTCTTCCTCTACTTTTACTTTTTATATTCAGCCTTTTGTCAATACTGGTCCTTGCTTTGTCCATGGTAGGGGAAGGATTTTGCTGGAGAGAGCTTTGTGTTCTTTGAATGAGGAGCTGTAGATTTTATACTCCTGGGACTTTTATTAGACATTAAATGTAGAGTTGCTTTTCTTCTTGGTTGAGGTGGACATGATCAGCATAGTGAGCCCCACCCAGTAGGGGAGCAGATGGCCATCTCCATCAGCCCAGAGAAGACCCCCCCTACACTCTGGGCCCCCTGCCTGGCTCTGTATGGAATGCTCAGATCATCATTTTCTGTGTGTAGTTAAGCTTCCATCTTATACTTCTTTTTTAAACATTTTATTTGTGCTATCATCCTAGGTGCCTTTCAAAGATGAATATACCTTCCTATTACACATGCACACACATATATATGTCAACCAGAATTAATGTCCTACTTAAAGCTGTTTGCCCACATTAATCCGTACTCATAAACAACATTTCAACAGCGTTTCCGCAGCTTATGTGGGATTGTTACAAGCTGAGTAGTTCAAGTAAGTCCCTGAGAGAGAAGAATTGTCACCAGAACCCCTGCTTCCCACAGATTGATCCTTTGTGTATTATTCCTTCAGTCATGTTTATGTGTGTGCTCATGGAGGGATTAGAGTTATTTTTACATCTGTCCCCTTCACCACATTGTCAGTTAATAAGGGTTGTGACCTTATCTTTGATTCTCAGAATTAAGTGCTATGCCTGGCACATGATGATTCCCAGTTAGGCGTTGATTTGAATAATCTCTCAAAGGTTTTTTCGGTTCCAAGAGTCTGTGGAAGAACTTTCTCTGTTTGTAGGTAGATAGAAACCACCAGAGGAGACTTAATTAGCACACCAACTGCCTTTGTGGGTAGCCAGGAGTTAGAGGAAATGTATTTTCTTATGCGCTCCAGAATAAACATTTACAAAACCATCTGGTGCTCACTAGCCTCCAATTTCAGAGTGCCCACAGTCTGCTTTTCTCTTTCTTTCTTTCTCTTTCTTTCTTTCTTTCTTTCTTTCTTTCTTTCTTTCTTTCTTTTCTTTTCTTTTCTTTCTTTCTTTTTTTTTATAGAGGGAGACGGAGAACAAAACAACAGCTTCCAACATTTAAAAACATTTTTTTAAATTCCTGTTATTTGCAATATGTTGTTTGCTCCACCAAAATCCCAATAAATAGATAAGCTACAAGGCCAAGTAAAGTAGAAAATAGTAGAGTATTTCCTAGATTTATTGGTACCGTATCTTATTCTTTTCCACAGAGAATAAGAATAAATATGCCAAGGTGGACGGCCTCTAGGGTGGGGACACATGTCCAAGATACTCGTGATTTTTCTTAACAGGAAATAAGGTTTCCTATTGATCTTGGCCCAAAAATGTTTGTTGAACCTGCAGAAAATAGAAGTGTTTTTCTTCTTAAATAAAATGTCTAGGTTCATTCCTTTAGATATATTTCTACGGCGATGTTATTTTTAATTCAGGCACACAAACTTTCAGTCTTATATTATGCAACATTATAAGAAAGAAAGCCAATGATAATGTATATTTTCTCCAGAACATATGGTAAAGCATTTGGATATTTCATTTGCACCAGATGTTGCTGTTTATGTAATGGATGCTCAATAAGTATTGTTGACTTATTGTACTTGTAAGACACAAGGAAGAAAACTTAGAAGGATTTATAAATTCTATAGGTTAGCATAATAATTTAATGTGACTCTATCTTTTTTAAAATATATATATTTTATTGATTTTTTTACAAAGAGGAAGAGAGAGGGATAGAGAGTTAGAAACATCGATGAGAGAGACATTGATCAGCTGCCTCTTGCACACCCTCTACTGGGGATGTGCGGGCAACCAAGGTACATGCCCTTGACTGGAATCGAACCTGGAACCCTTCAGTCTGCAGGCTGACGCTCTATCCACTGAGCCAAACCGATTTCGGCTAATGTGACTCTATCTTAAGCTTTAGTTTTTTAATATGGGTGAGTATTTCTTAAGATTACTATTCTGCCACCTTTGAATGTGTCTTGAGATTTAGGCCTACTGAGTAAATAAGTCAGTTTAAAATTTCTAACATTTTTTAAGATGATGAGTCTGTGTTCTAAAATCCCCTAAATCTCTTGCAGCTCTGTTCCCATATTCCTCCTTCCCTTTCTGTTTCCTCTCTTTCCCCCGTCCTCCTTTGGCCCTTCCCTGGCTGGCAGCCCATCTAATTTACCAAGTCTCTTTGAATGCAGGGCACAGTGTGTGGCCAGCCTTGCCCGGAGGGTCGCTTTGGAAAGAACTGTTCGCAAGAATGTCAGTGCCATAATGGAGGGTCCTGTGATGCCGCCACAGGCCAATGTCATTGCAGTCCAGGATACACAGGGGAACGGTAAGGGACAGTCTTGTATTTCTGTTTGTAATGGCGTGAGAGGAGAAAGCTCGAAAGATCCAGCACACACCTCCATTACCGTGTGTCTGTGACTGTTATATAATATTCCAGGTAATGACACCTTCAGGTAGCAGAGGGTTGTACACGTTCTTTCCCAGTTCACTGCATAGGAGCTGAATCATTGATGGCGAGGATGAATTGAAGAAACAGAGAAAGTGTTAGAAATAAAAATAATAAAAATATCAGCCATTCTAAACCTATGATGAATGTGTCATTCCAAACAGATGAGTGCTTAGGACAGCCACTTTAAACAACAATCTTAACAAACTTAACCTTGTAAACCATTTTGGACAGGTTTATTTTTAAATCGGATGTGTACTTAGGAATATTTTAAAAATATGTTGCACATAATGTTACCTCCTTATGATTCAGAATTGTATTAAGAATGTCAATCATTTTATTGTGCTCTAGTGACAGAGTAAGATGCAATGGGACTTATGGGGCTCCCCTGTCCCACATGGTATCCTGAAAAGCAAGATAATCAAGCTCATTGGATATGTATCTAAAATAGAGAAAAGAGACTTGCAAAGTAAAAGAGTATAATGCCTGAAAGCAAAGATTTTGGAATCTGTGTCCTCCTCTATGATGTTCAAGTAATAATTGTACTTTCCTTTAGGATTATTATAAGGGTTAAACAAGTACATTAAAGCATTTAGAACTATGCTGAAACATGAATATTAACTATTATTATAGTTGAGTAATTTCTATGAACTGTATAAATCCTAGTGATTTCAATTTGAATAATGTTAGGATTGTACAAATATTACCTATCTTTTTTTTAATCCTCACCTGAGCATATGTTTATTGATTTTAGAGAGGGGAGAAAGGAGAGAGAGAGAGAGAGAAACATCAGTGTGAAAAAGAAGTATCAGTTGGTTGCCTTCTGTATGTGCCCTGATCAGGAATCAAACCTGCAATCTTTTAGTAAATGAGAGGACACTACAACTAACTGAGCCACACCAGCCAGGGCTAGCTATCATCACTTTTTGATGGTTTCTGTGACCTAAGAATTCTTTCAAACTCCTTCCTTAAATTTGTTTCTTTTTAAAAGCCTGTTCTAGTTTTATGACTTTCAATAAGATACGGTAGAGTGCTTTTCCCCAGTTAGATTCTCTACTTTCTTGTTAAATTGTATTACTAAGCATCTTATAATTTTTTTAAAAAATCCAAATCCAGTTTCTAATTGGGCATTTTTGAATAAAAGAAAGCTTACTTTTGAATACACCATGGGGCAAAAGTAGATTTATAATTGTGAGTACATGAAATGCAGAGTTTATTCCTATATTATTATTTATTAATTATTGTATTATTTTCCATACAAACAACTGTAAACCTGAATTTACCCCACCCTATATTTATTTCTACCAATCTTTTTTGTTAACTGTTATTTTTAGCAAGTGCTAAAAATTTTTCATCATCTACAAAGGTAAGTCAGTCTCTTCTTTTCAATATATAATGACTATTTCATTTTCTTGTATTATTGAATTAATTAAAACCTTTAAATCAGTGTTGACAAAAAGAGGTGAAAGTAGGAATTCCTCTTTTGTTCCTAATTTTATTGGCAGTGGCTTCAGTATAGTTTCATGTTTATCATTGGTTCTTAGAAAACTGTCTTTCATGCTCAAGTGGGCTTTTTAATCCCTATTTTTATTAGGAACTTTATTAGTTATATATGTTTAATTTCATTAAGGGCTTTTCCATATTTTGTCAATAAAATTAATGCCTTTTTTCTTTGTTTGATGCTATGACTTTAGTGCCTGGTTTTTATAACATGTAATTAGGCTATTTGGTATGTTTTGTGACCTGCATCCTGGGTTGTGGTTATATTCTGAATAGAGGAGGTTGCTAGATGAGTTCTGGATCCGTGTGTCACTAACATCTTATTATAGAAAGATGAGTCAGGAAAGGAGAGGCACAGGACCAAGCAGAATCCTAAATATAAGTTTGTGCAATATTTTAGTGCACTAAACATTTAAATGTAATTATTTTTTTCCCCTCTGGGGATTCAAGTCTCAAATTCGAGGCAACACAAAAACCACAAAGATATAAGGCAGGCTTATATTTATCTTATTTGGAATATAAGGGAAAGGAATGGCAGCTCATTTTCAGGTGAATTTTAGACTTGAAGCAAGGAAGGCGAAGAGCCAGAGAAAGAGAAGGAAAATGAAGAAGGAACTTGCTTCTTGAGTTGTTCTTGTAACTATTATTATTTTATTTTATTTCATTTCATTTCATTTCATTTCATTTCATTTCATTTCATTTCATTTCATTTTATTGATGAACTGATGGTGTGACCTCTGTTTTCAATTAGTCTATACCCATCTGGTTTCTAGAGTTCACACACACACACACACACACACATGCACACACACACGCACATGCACACGCACACGCACATGCACACACAGTGAGGACAAGCACATTTGTCACTATGAAAGGAAAACCATGTGTGACTATGGGGCAGTTTGTGGCAGGAGGTATAAGGAATGGGCACAGAATCTCTGACTATTTTTCCTGTGCTGAGCAGTCAGCAGTAACCTGATGACTGAGGTTAGGCCAGAGGCTGTCTGGAGAAGCAGGTACCACCACATGCAATGCCAGCCAGGCATTAGCAGGGTGTGGGAGCAGCTTTCCCAGCCAGAGGGCAAACAGGAAAACAAAACAGGCACCTTGGGGCAGGCAGAGCAGCTCATGGGAAGCCTAAGTAATAGTATGTGGAGAGGATGAGAGAATATTATCATAAGGGAAATGTAAAGTGTCACAGCCAAGCAAGAGTAAGGAGAAGTTGGTTTCCAGATCCTCCCAAAAATTCTTCTGAAGGGGTTAAAAGAGTGTGTTTAATGCTGGGGATCTCTGAGGCCTTCGATGGCCTCGCTGGGGTCTGTGCACATCATGGGTGCTCCCTAATGTCAGCTGGACGGACAGATTCCTGGATCAATTTTGGACTCTGCTAAGATGCAAACTAAGACTGTCCTGCCACGCCTGGGTCCATATTGCCCTCGAAGCGAAAAAGAGTGTGTGAGAAAGCAGGTCAGAAATTATAGACAGAAATTGGGAGGATGCAGCTTGCTCTTCTGCAGAGGAACCCTGCCCTCTCCCTAGGGCTGTGGGAAGCGGGCTCTTTTGCAGCGCTTGGTATATGTTCTCCTGAGAAGTTTGAAAGGCAGGAGCCTAATTCATCCATCCAGGCTTAGTGAGGAATGCGATTCTTTTACTATATCATCGTTTGGCCCAATTATTCCAGTCACTCTGGGAGGGACATGTTCAAAAGGACAGGGAGACAAGGAAGCTGCCACCCCCTTCTATGCCAACTCACTTTCTTTTCCACAAGTTCACAGTGAGATGCAATATCATTATTGAAATGGTATTAAAACAATTCTGTGACCCTCATTGGTTTGGGAATTGATATCATGCTTTATTAGTTTATCTCTGTTTATTGCTTCTCTATTTTTCCTAATTCCCGGGCATTATTCAAAAATCATATATATCTCCTAAATATTTCTACTGTGGCCAATATTTATTGCTCTGTTTTTATCCACCTCTCTGTCATCTCTCCTAAGAAAATGTATTTCCAGTTTTCCTGATTCCTAAGATAGCTTTTCTTGTTCCACTTGGTACCACAAAAGCAACAGTAGGGGCATTAAATTAGCTGGGAAATAACTTTTTACATAAAGGGGCCAAAAAGAGAGATAAGACTGCCTGAGAAAGACTTCACATTCAGCCAATCAGAAAGGTAAAGCTACTCCGTGATCGTGTTTATTTTCAAGATGGAAAATGTCTACTTCTAGAAAGATACCCTTTCATTTTGGTTTGGAAGACGGAAATGGGCATACCTATTACTAACAGGATTCTCCTACAAGCGCAATGTTGACAGAAAAGAAGTGGGAATATGAGCCAAGCTTTACATCCTGGCTACTTTAGGAAGTAAAACTCAAATGGCTGTTTGCCATTTATAACACAAACTAGTAGTATATTGAATTATAGGTTAGGAAGATAAATATGGCCAGGACCAGCTATTATGGATATTGTTTTCCCAGAGAAAAGGAAGTCTCTGCCAAGATATGATAAAATAGACACACCAGTTCCCTGTCATTTCGTAGCTGACGCTTTTCCAGGCCTCCTATCTCTGCCCGGTCCACCCACTTGAAGAGCTGTGCTTTCTACTACGAACACTCAGTTACAATCACACAGTCCAGCACTTAGCATTTCGGGTTTGTTTTCAAATCCATGCCAGAGGGAGAAGTCCTTTGCCATCTCTTTTCCTTTTTTGGTACTAACTTGCAATGAAACCTGGACAGACAGGTGGCAAAGTTGTCTTACTAGCATTTAGCAGAGCCATGATGGGGCCAAATTATAGGACCTCGGTATTTCTTCGTTCTCTGAAGTTTACATCTTCAAGGAATAAACTAAGTGATGTCACTTATTAAGCTTCTTACTAGGTAAAAATAGAATACCTTTAAAAAAAATGCTCTGGTCTAAAAATAGGTAGACGCCTGTGTAACTTTAAAACACATGTCTGATTCTATGCTAAATATTCGTGCAGTGACTCAGGAATTCACCAAATAATTTGTTGAGCAGTTGATTCAAAGACTTTGCCTATTAACACACACACCTAAAGATGTGTAGAGTCTGTGAAACCCAGTTTGCAAGAGGCTCTTTTCCCTGTCTCTATCCCATTAAATATATGCAAGAGTCAGAGTTAACCAGAAAAGCATCAAAGGATTGTCAAGATTTATCCTCTATACTTAAATAGAATTCCTGCCCAGCCCTGGTATTGTTCGTACCACACCCTATCATTAAACATAGGCGGGCGTGTGGGAAATGTTGCCTTTTAGTAAGCTTCAATGTGTTTTGCACTTGCTGCTTGCATTACATCCATCTGCACAGGGCAGTGCTGACCTACATTTTAGACTCTGGGTCTGGCATGGCCTGGGAAGCGCCTGCTGAGACTCGCAGTGCTGCCCTACTTGTGGCGAGCACTTGGCTAGACAAGACTCCGTCTCCCTTTCCTTGGCTACAAGTACTCCTGCTGCTGCAGAAAGCTCCATCCAGTCACCTTGCCCAGTAGAAGGGAGGCTTGGCTGGCCGGTAACTAGTCCTGCTCTCTCTGGAGCAATGGGTATTCTCTTCTCTATCACAATTCCCTCCAACAACTCCGCTTCTCCCTGGTCCAGATTCCCAGAGCATGTCCCTCCTCTGGGACTGAGCTCTAATGTTATTTTTTATTTTTTAAAGGCACTAAAGAGAATTTTTAAAAATATTTTTTATTGATTTCAAAGAGGAAGAGAGAGAGATAGAAACATCAATGATGAGAGAGAATCATTGATCGGTTGCCTTCTTTGCACACCTCCTACTGGGCATATGCCCTGCCTGGGGATCAAACCGTGACCCCTGGTTCATAGGTCGACGCTCCACTACTGAACCTCTCAGGCTGGACAATAAAGTGAACTTCTGAGGTCTGATGTTTTTTCCTTGCCATTTGGCAGCCCTTCTCCCCAACAGAAGACAATTTTACCTGTCCAATAAAAATTTTGCATTAGGGATCTCCACAACTTCCTACAACCTGCCCACTTCTGTTCCCAGGATGGAATCGCGGACATCTTATTTCAGTATCTCACACCTCCCAGATCTAAAGAGGACTTTGTTTATTAGTTACATAACTTTAATTGCATGGCTGAGATTAAAAATTAATGTCAATGTGAAAGCCAACAGGATTAAAATTTAGTTTAGAATCTCCTACAGTTTTCTCTTTGGAACCAGGAAACACGTGTTTTAATTTCCTGATCATAGACTGGGACTGACATTTGGACAGTTTCTTTTCTCTCTTTCCTGGTACCTACTAGAGAATGTTATATGTCCCTTTGGCAAGCACTATGTATAAAACATACTTCACGTCCCAAATTCCTTATTTTGTTTACGTTACTTCTTTGATCAGTTCATATTACTGTTACTACTGCTTGTAGTCAGAATAATTCATCTAAACGCTCTTCACACCTGTATAGGGGTAATCACTAAATAAATACCAAGTCCAAAAAGTCATGTCAGTTTATGCATAACAAAGTCTGTCTGAATGGACTGTTTCACAAGGTACTAACCAATCTACCTTCCGCGTCTGCCTTCCGCCTGACAGGTGCCAGGACCAGTGTCCTGTGGGCAGGTACGGGGTGCGCTGTGCGGAGACCTGCCAGTGTGTCAACGGGGGGAAGTGCTACCATGTGAGCGGCTCCTGCCTCTGTGAGGCGGGCTTTTCCGGCGAACACTGCGAGGCCCGCCTGTGTCCCGACGGGCTCTATGGCATCAGGTGTGACAAGCGCTGCCCCTGCCACCTAGACAACACGCACAGGTGAGGGCCCATGGCCCCTGGAAGGAGAGATTGGCAGAGAGATTCCCACCCCAAGACGGTTCCTCTCTCTGAGTTGTCCAGGGCAGTAACCACTGAGTGAATGGAAGACTTCCGTGCTTGGTGGGAGGTGGTCTAAATCAGAAGTGCTAACACTGTGAGATGGTCGTGGGTGGACAGCAAAACCTATTCTGTACTAATGGTGACTAGCAGACATTAAACTTGCTGAGGTTAATGGAACGTTTCCCTGAGAGAGGGATTCTGTGACATTCCCTGAGCAGCAAAGGTGCGGTGAGAGATATGGGGTAAGCCAGTGTAGTATGTAAAAGTCTCTCACAAAGTGATTCTCACGGCAACATCTTTTGCTGGACAGAAAGAACATCTGTGTAGAGAGGAAGTGTACCGGCGGACGTTTTTGTGAAAGTGCTTCACATGTGGCTGTCACATGTGAAATATGTTTTCAGAATTGATTACCCTGACATAGAACTCACAGGGGTCTCTTAGCTCAAAAATCTCTCAAAGAATTTCAGAACAGGAAGCCATGATCCCACCCACCCTACTGTACCTTGTCTACCCCTGAAAATATCTTTCTACCCCCCCACCCCCGACTTCCTCTTCCTTCCCCAAGGACCAGATACATATCACTTAGAATTCTGGGGTTCATTTGTAAACTGCTGGGAAAGCTGAGTTTGACCAAAATGTTGTGCCTTGTACAGCAGCTCAGACGTTACAAGAATTACTTTATTTGCATTCAGCACAGCTGTTATTTCATTTATGTTTCTAAAAGATAGCTCCTGGCCACATCAAATCTGAAATGCACAAAAGTTAAAAGTAAACACAGGCCTGTGGTTGGTCTCTTTTGTAAAGCCATTGTTTGGAAATTAAAAAGCGGACTTTTGCATTGCATGCATGTGTGGGTGTGTTTGTACGCAAGTGCATGCGCACATACCCACATGCTGGCATACATTTCAGTGGGGGACATCAAAGAAGTAAATTCTTACAATCTCAAGCAACTTTGTGAGCTACTTTAGTCAACTTTTGGTTTTCTTTATTGGAAAATCCTGCCACTGTTTCCATAACAAGGCTAAACAAACATTGGGAAGTAAAAATAAATAATCTCTACAGGATTTTGTTTGTTTTTATCTTCTCCAATATTCAAGGGGCTGGCAAAATTTAGGGACAAGTCTTGAATTTGGCTACCTTTCCTGCAGAAAGCTTTTCCCAGCAAAGGTAAACCTCATGTAGTGACAGTAAAGAGTTTTTTAATGTCAGTTTGCTATTTCATTGTGTGAAGGGACAGCCTGAAATCAAAGAGATTACTAAACCTATACAAAGGAGTTCCACTAGGAGAAGAATTGGAAGAGCAGATAAAATGTTGGTTTTATTGTTAGGGACCATGATAGCAGTGGCAGGTGCAATTGACAGTTCATAGGTAGTATTTGCATATCATTTACATTTGCACATAAGCTATGGCAGGGTATGCCTACACATCATTTTTTCACGTGGATTCAGCAAATTTAAGTTATGCTTTTTGGAACTTTCTGTTTTTTTTCCTAAATATTTTTTATCTGCATTTGATTGCATCTCGAATGCAAAATCTGTGGACAAGGAGGACCAACTAACTGTACATGAAATTATTTGACAATCACATAGATCAAAAGAACACAAAAACCTGTATAATAAAGTATAACAATCGAAGATTAAAAAACAAATAGCCTGTAAAGTGCTTTCCTAATAATAAAAGCTACTTTTAAAAATTAGCTTTTACAGATTTCTAGTAAAACTGTTTGAATGTTGATTATATAACTCTATCATGCTGAATTCACAATTGGAGTCAGCCATCTGATTTTTATATCTTGAACTAACTTCAATGTAAAATTCCTGGAAACATATGGTTCCTTTGAACTAAAAGTCATATGATATTTTTATTATTTGAAAGTCAAGCTTGTTCATTTTATCATTTAAGCATGCAAGTAGAGCTTCTATTACATAATTTATTATGTATATTTTAGAACCTTTCATTATAATTAATGAGTTAAACTAATACAATGCAAACTATTAGTTTAGTTTGTCTCAGTAAATTTTGAGTTATATGGATATACATATTGACATATATTGCAGTAGTATATTTGGGTAGAGGCTTGTATCAGCATTTGCTGCATTAAAAATAAAATCCTATCCCAAATTTAGTGATATAAGACAATTATTTATTAGCTGGTGGCTTTTTATTTTTTTTATGCATGACTATTTGTGCTGGGCTCAATTTAGCAGTTCTTTTGTTGGTCTCCCTCTGTTCAGTTGGCAGATCAACTAGAGCCTGATTAGGCTGGAATTCTTCACTTACATAGCTAACATTTGACTGGATGATAGGGCTGACCCCAAGTCTCAAGTATCTAGCAGGTTAGCCTGGGCTTCTCTATTTGGTGACAAGCAGCAAGAGACAGCAACGAGCTCCAATGTGCAAGCACTTAGCCAACATTTGGTTATGGCATGTTTGCTAATATTCCTTTAGACAAGGCAGGTCATACAACCAAATCCAGATTCAATGAATTCTACCTCTTGATGGGCAGAGTTGTAACCATTTTTATTTTGCCATCTATCATAGGGTTCAAATGAATCTAAATATATTTATTCATGATATAAGCATTTAAAATTACATTACTGTTATAGAGCCTAAAAAAAGTCACTGTGGACTTTCCAACTGAAAACTAACTTCCATGTTGGGAATGATTTTTATTGTTTGGTAACAGCTACAATTGATAAAAATAAAATGATAATAAAAGATTATATGTGAAAATAAAACTTGAGATTTAGTAAGATTCCACATGAGATATTTATATTAACTCTTGTTAATAAGGATGTTTAATAGCTGTGGGCAATCAGGATATGCCTATTTGAAAATGCCACCTGATTATATTTGAACATTAATAACATCTAAGGAAATGAATAAAAGGAAATTCTAGAACTCACTCTATTTTAGCCAGTATTGTATTGGATTTATAATAACTTAACTCTTAAACTGAACATTTTACTAGAAGATGGATATCTATTTTTATATACATGTATAAAATGATAGGTGTTCCTGTATTTGTATAATCCTGTTTTCACATACACAAAGCAAGCTGTTCTATAGACAGAGACCAGATAGGAGTATACCAACCTTCAGCCTTGAATCTGCTGCTCTCACATCAACACGTAAATCTATCTCATTACCAATTAAGCTGCCTGCACGAGAACACATCAAATGCCTGCCAAGTGCTCTGGCTTCCTATACCTAATTACAAATTGCAGAATACTAATTTGGGTGTCAATCAATCCGAGAACCAGTGAGCTGCACTAATACTCACTGGGGGGGCATTGAATATCAATTTCTCTGTCTGCCTCTAGCTTAGTTCAATTTCCTGTCCCCAGATTATCTGTTTTGTTTAACATTTATGTCTACACCATGAAATTTATTTTCTTCCTTTTACTGTAAAATATTTTCCACGAGAAGATGTCCTTTTCTATAGTATGGTTAGATAAGGTAAATTACTTTAATTAATCCATTTCTCGAACTATTTATTTTCCTCTTCTCAGATGTAGTGCCTTAGTGAACTAAATTTAAGTTTGTCTTTGCTTTTTACACAATATGGGCTTTTATTGGTCCTGCTAACATTTGATCTGTGCTCTATCCTAAGTAATAGCAATTCTTTTTTCATACCTAGCTTTCTTAGCAGACTGCTATCAAAGTTCCTTGCTTTAGGTTCCCTCATCTGCTCCCCCGATCACAGGCTCAACCCCTTCCCAAGCCTAAAGCCTCCATCCCTGGCTTTGGGCTTGAGAAGGGGACCCTCCAGCCCCTCTGATCCCAGGCTTGGCCCCTTCCCCTCCGATTACAGGCTTGGCCCCTTTCCAAGCCTAAAGCCTCTGCCTGATGGGCAGCTGGGTGTGACCTGGGTACCAAGGAGGTTCCCAGGACCTAGGTATGTATGCAAATTAACATCCATCTTTGTTAGGTTAATTTGCATACTCACTCTGATTGGCTGTGGGCATAGCAGAGGTATGGTCAATTTACATGTATCTCAATTATTAGGTAAGACTAGAGGCCCCATTGCATGATATTCATGCAAGAATAGGCCTTCCTTTTCCTGGCTTCACTACTGGCTGCCTGGGAGCCGGCAAGTCCCTGCTCCTGGGCCACCCAGGAGCTGCCAAGTCCTAACCTCCTCTTCCCTGCTGGCCTAATCACCCTAACCACCTCTGCCTACCAGCCTGATCACCCGTAACTGCTCCCCTACCAGCCTGATCACCCCCTAACTGCCCTCCCCTGCCGTCCTGATTGCCTCCTAACTGCTCCCCCCTGCCAGCCTGTTTGCCCCCTAACTGCTGCCCCCTGCCAACCTGATCACCCTTAACCACCTCTTCCTTGACCCCTGCCACTATGGCTTTGACCGGAAGGATGTCCAGAAGATATCCAGTCTAATTAGCATATTACCCTTTTATTAGTATAGATAGGTAGATGGGCCTGCTGTTCACCAGGGACAAGTAACAAAACACACCTGCCCTCATGGAGCTCAAAGTCTAGAGGAGAAGGAAGACAGTGAAAGATAGTAAAAATAAACCCAAGTTTATAGGCAGCGGTGAGTAAGAGCAGTGTGCTATGAAAAAGAATGACAAGAGAGACCTGTTTTATTTTTATTTTATTTTTTAATATATTTTATTGATTTTTTATAGAGAGGAAGAGAGAGGGATAGAGAGTTAGAAACATCAATGAGAGAGAATCATCGATCAGCTGCCTCTTGCACACCCCTTACTGGGGATGTGCCCGCAACCAAGGTACATGCCCTTGACTGGAATTGAACCCGGGACCTTTCAGTCCGCAGGCCGACGCTCTATCCACTTAGTTAAACTGGTTTTGGCTGGAGAGACCTGTTTTAAATGACAGTGATCAGGACATGTCTCCATAAGGAAGATATACTATTTAAGCTTTGACTGGGCGGGGAAGATGAAGGGAGCTAGGCAGAGTGGAAAACAGCATTATTAGTAATTCCCTTTTTCACTCTAAAAATGTCCTAGTTTTGACAATTATGTAATCACTCGCTATATTAAACAGTATAAGTTTTACTCTAAGTGTAGTGGGGAGCCTTTGGAAAACTTTAAGGAGAATGATCTACTTTATGGTGATGAGGCATGAGTGGAAGCAGGGAGAAAGGTAGATGGCCATTCAGAAGTTTAGGAGATAGATGATGTTGGCTTGGAGTAGGATGGTGATAGTGAGGATGAAGAGAGATAGATGGATTCAAGATACATATTTCAGAGGTAGGATAGATCATGGTGATGAAGTGGATATGGGAGATGAGCGATAGGAAATTATCAAGAAAAACTCCAAGATTTAGTTTAAACAACTGAGTGACTGGAGGTGCCATTACTTCAGTGGGTATAGTTGTGAGTAGACACCAAAGGAGGAATCAAGAAAGGGAAGAACAAATATTTAGTTTTTAAAGTATCAAGTTTGAGGTCCATGGAGATGCCAGGTGTTTGCCCTAAGATAAATATCAGATAACTAAATCTGTGTAGATCTAAGTGTACCTGAGACTCAGACCCTTGTCTTCCAAATTCCAACTTTCTATATCCTAATAACCCTCTTAAATATGGAGTTGTACTGAGGTATTGCTTCATGCCATGTTTTCCTTAGGAAGGCCTGTGACAGATGCCTAGGTTTTTGCTTGTGGGAATTTAGTTGTAATAGGGGCCTAAAAGTATAACTAAATAAATTTATGAAAATGGGAGCAAACTGTCCAACCTACCAGGGTGTGGCTGAGACCCTCATTTGACAGATGAGGACATCAGGCCCAGAGAAGTTGTGTGTTTTCTCTTCGGTTACCCAGGTAGTGGGACAGCTGGAGTTCCTCCCTCTGTCTCCATCCATCCTAGAGAATCATTCTTTCCAAGAGTAGAAAAATCTGTCAACAGTCCTCCAAGAAAGGTCCTTTGCAAACGTGTGGATGCCACAGTGGATTTTGTTGTTGGCCCTACGTAAGGGGAGGGTTTTCTCTCTGGAGAGGATGCCCATCTTGAACAGTCTTCCATTGTGAGCAGAGCTAGTTCCATTGTTAAGATTTTCCTTGCTGAGAGGCACATGTGTTTTGAGTGTCACAGAGTGCCCTATTGTGTCAAGCTCAGAGAGGCGTGCATCCTAGCACAGCTGATGTATCCATTTGCTGTGGGACGACAGCCGGCTGCCTGGCCCATCCGTGTGGCTGCTGTTACAGGTAGAGACAGCTGCACCACCCCCAGGTATGGGGAGCTTAGAGAAGAAACAGGCTGAAAAGATGGCAGCTTTTGGAGTTCCTTGGACATCACCCTGATTAACTGATAAGATATCATTCCTTGGATGGAGTCCTTCTCATCGTATTAACCTTTTTTTTTTAATCAGTGCTTTTGATTTATGAAAATTAAAATGAGTTCCAAACCAAAGGACACAGCAGTGGTAGTCATCCTCCCAGATCATGATGCTGATTTTATGCAACGTTTCTGTAGGGCCCTCCCATTAATTGGTTGAGCCAATTAATTAAATCACACCATGCCTGAGAATGAAGTTTAAATTTACTCGTATTGCATTTGGGATTACCCACATGATTAGTGATCACAACCAAAGCAGCATTTGCATGGGCTTTGGGTGTCACGTTTCCCTGAAAGTGACTTGCTCCTCTCATCCATTCTCTCAGCTGTCACCCCATGTCTGGAGAGTGTGCCTGTAAGCCAGGCTGGTCAGGCCTCTACTGTAACGAGACATGCTCTCCTGGATTCTACGGGGAAGCTTGCCAGCAGATCTGCAGCTGCCAGAACGGGGCTGACTGTGACAGTGTGACTGGAAAGTGCACCTGTGCCCCGGGATTCAAAGTAAGTGGCTCGGCTCTGGAGGAGGGAGACAAAGGTGTGATGTGGCTCATATTGGTACCATGATTTATGGGACCTTTTCTGAAGTACAGTGAACGTGCTAAAATCAGTCCCATGGTAAACAAGATAAAGCATGAAAACTAGTTATGGAGCGACACAAGGAATTGCCTTAGAATGATGATTGGGAAAGCCGGTAAAACTATAAATGTGGCACCAAGGGTTAACTACTTAATTAATATATGTCATGAAGTATGCTGTATTGTAATTATTCCTTACATAATTACTTTACTGTTGAATGGGCAGTATAAAATTACTTTTCCAAGTAGGATATGTATTGTTGTCAACAGTTTTTGTCTTAATTCCATGTATTGCCATGTGATGGTTAGTAGTATGTAAGTTTTTTGGTTTCTTTGGGAATCTAGAACTTACAAAAATGCCTATGTATGCCAATAGAGCAGAATTTTGCCTAGTTGCTAAGGTTTCTTAGATATGAAGCAGGAATCTTTGTTTTAAAGGAAAACAGGTTGTTTTTTAATTATTCCTCCCATTTTAAAGAGAACATTAAACTCTGAAGGATGTTGATAATTGATAATTATTCCAAAGCATTTCATGCAATACAAGAGGATCATAAACTCTCTGAGCTGAGAGATCTTTACAAGGTTTTCTAACCTGTCATAGTCCTTTGGTTGAGGCCTTGGATCCACCTTGTCTTAAAGAGTTCCTTCTGTGGTTTTTCTTTTCTTTTCTTTTCTTTTTGTTTTTTGTTTGTTTGTTTTTGTTAATCCTCACCCAAGGATATTTTTCCATTGATTTTTAGGGAGAGAGAGGGAAAGACAGAGAGAAACATCAATGTGAGAGAAACACATCAATTTGTTGGTTGCCTCCTGCAGGAGTCCTGGCCAGGCCCCAGGCCAAGGAAGAGCCTGCAACCAGGGTGCATGTCTTTGACAGGAATCAAACCCACAGGCCGAGGCTGTCTCCACTGAGCCAAACCGGCTAGGGCAGCCTCTTATGTATTGAAAGGAGGTCGCCTCCAGTCACCTCTGGTAACCTATGTCCCTTTAAGGCTTGCTGTCAGATAACAAATTGAATCATGTGGGCTGTTTCCTTTGCTGTGCCCACTAATCATATTATATATTTATTATACAAGGAAGTCTGGGAAGCATTGCAATTTAATGTATAGCTCATATTTATGTTTATTTGCTGACAGTAATTTTACAGCTGCAGTTTATTGTGATATATCTACTTGTCTGAGCAAGGACAAAAGGTTTTATATTTGCTATGAAGGAAACTAATGAAGGCAAGCAGGCTTTTTTGGGATGTTATTCAACACTGTATCATAAACATTGGCCAGTTAACATTGCCCTTGAATCTCTAAATTTGTATGGTGGTGACATTATAGCGACTTTGTAATATACAATGTGTTAAAATTGGAGCGGGTGTATAATTAGCATCACCAAGATATATTTTTGTTTATTTGTGCTGGCCTTATTTCAGCGGGTAGAGTTGCATGCATTTTCCTGTTTGCGCCTGTCTAGGGAACTGACTGCTCTGCCCCGTGCCCTCTGGGAACCTATGGGGTCAACTGTTCCTCTCTCTGTGGCTGTAAGAACGATGCTGTCTGCTCTCCTGTGGATGGCTCGTGTACTTGCAAGGCAGGTAAGTGGGTGATAGAGTATTTCTTCAGGTCCTGGTCCGTTTGTCTCCTAAAGTCACAGGAATGAAACCTTAACTGGGTTCCTAGGTCCAGCTGTGCCAAAATTCAGTGTCTGATCTCAACAAGCCCTTCAGCCAGGGGTTCTCCTGCTTTCATGAATGGATGGGGAGAGGCTCACAGATGAACTCTGATGAGTGAAGGGAAGAGACTCCTGCATAGGAGATGATCTAGGATGAGTCAAGGAAAAGGCTCATTCATAGGGGATGATCTAGGATGAGTCAGGGAAGAGTCTCATTCATAGGAGATGATCCAGGATGAGTCAGGGAAGAGGCTCATTCATAGGGGATGATCCAGGATGAGTCAGGGAAGAGGCTCATTCATAGGGGATGATCCAGGATGAGTCAGGGAAGAGGCTCATTCATAGGGGATGATCTCTGAAGAGTCAGGGAAGAGGCTCATTCATAGGGGATGATCTAGGTTGAGTCGGGGAAGAGGCTCATTCATAGGGGATGATCCAGGATGAGTCAGGGAAGAGGCACATTCATAGGGGATGATCCAGGATGAGTCAGGGAAGAGGCTCATTCATAGGGGATGATCCAGGATGAGTCAGGGAAGAGGCTCATTCATAGGGGATGATCCAGGATGAGTCAGGGAAGAGGCTCATTCATAGGGGATGATCTCTGAAGAGTCAGGGAAGAGGATCATTCATAGGGGATGATCTAGGTTGAGTCGGGGAAGAGGCTCATTCATAGGGGATGATCCAGGATGAGTAAGGAAAGAGGCTCATGCATAGGGGATGATCTCTGAAGAGTCAGGAAAGAGGCTCATGCATAGGAGATGATCTCAGAAGTTGCCTCCAGCTCCAAAACTCTGTGAGTCTCTGCATTTTGGAGATGACTAAGCCAAGCAGACATGTGTCCATGCCCCTAAGCTCACTGACCTGGAGTCATGACAAGAAATGCAGCCAAGCACCGATTTCACGAGAGGGCCAGAATGTGTCTAATTCAGAGTTCCTGCAGCAGTTAAAACCCTAGGTACTCAGTGTCCATAGTTAAGGGGGTCCTGCATTAGAGACAAGGTTGTTCTTTCAAATACAAACCTTCCTTTTCCCTCCCATATATTTCAATTTTTCTAACCTGACCACAACTCAGCACCACTGTGCATTAAAGCGGCCCCCACTCCATGTCTCCTCCCCGTTAGCCCAGGAGAGCTTCTCATGTTGGTATTTGTGTGACTGAACCCACAAATTGTTAAAAATAGGGGCGTCTGGTCACCTTATTCTAAAGGGAAAGTGGCTGGGAAAGGCTCGGCACAACGCCCTGCTGCCTCTGTTTCCTCACCTGTGCTCTGGCCTTCTTGTCCTGGCAGGCTGGCATGGGGTGGACTGCTCCACCCGCTGTCCCAGCGGCACATGGGGCTTTGGCTGTAACTTAACCTGCCAGTGCCTCCACGGCGGAGCCTGCAACACCCTGGACGGGACGTGCACGTGTGCACCTGGATGGCGCGGGTTGAAATGCGAACTTCCCTGCCAGGTAGGACCAAACCAGTCCCCCCGCTGAGAACGCCTGGGAGCCCACGCAGGAGGGTTAGCCTGTTTCTTGCAGTTTTCCTGATTTAGATTTAAAGTGCCTGAGTGCACACCAAACCTTAGTAACTATTAGAAGAATGAAGGTACCTGAACTTAGGATGGATATAGGATCAGAAAAGGGGTAGACATGAAATTGATTAGGTAGCTTTGTAAGAATCGGTGTTTTGGGTTTTTGTTTTTGTTTTTTTTTAATTATTGATTTTCCACAGAGAGGAAGGGAGAGCGATAGAGAGCTAGAAGCATCGATGAGAGAGAAACATCGACCAGCTGCCTCCTGCACACCCCCTACTGGGGATGTGCCCGCAACCAATATACATGCCCCTGACCAGAATCAAACCTGGGACCCCTCAGTCTGTAGACAGTCGCTCTATCCACTGAGCCAAACCAGTTTCGGCAAGAATCGTTTTCTTATTTTCCTCCATCTCTACTCAGGTTTCCCTAATTGCCACTGCTCCCCGCTCATTCCACCTCCCTGCCTAATTTTTTTGTTTGTTTATTTGTTTGTTTGTTTTTGTAGTTGTCCTTATACACCCATCTCTTCCTGGCAGCCAATCAATAGCATTTGCTCAACACTCAAGTGTATGCCTCTCCACTCTCCAAATACTGTGTTTCGTTGTAATGGGAAACCTCCAGCATGTGGGAAGGAGAGTGGCAGGGAACTGAAGGGGGTGGTGATGGTGTCACAGACATGATCATTGAGGTGGTAAAAGAAGATTTGGAAATGGCCCATTTTTTTTAGTGTAAATAGCTCTGGAGTCACAAGAATCCCCAGAGTTTTCCCTTGTTTGACCCTAACTCTTCCCTTGCCCCGCTTTGGAGATATTCGTCACTAGACGCCCCCCACTGTGGCGGTCACCACACACCGACAGAGGGTGCCAGTGGACAGTGCATTCTCTAGTAACTTGCTGATTTGCCCTTCTTCCTGTTTCTCTCCCTCTTTTCTGTCATTCTTTCTTCCTCCACAATTCTTTTCTCCTGAGCTGTTAAGCGTTCTCTCCGTAGTGTGTGTTCTCTGCGTCTGGGAGGACAACTGATAGCAAGATGGCACTGTGCCCCCTGAACACAGCCCCTCACGAAGGGCCTTTCTCGGGCTTACTCTGCATTAAGCAATCCATTTCCCAAAGCAGAGGCTTTGCCCTGGGCCAGTTCATGCCCCCACTTTATCTTAGGATAAAGTTGAGTCAGCTTTGCCGCCTCTCATCCACCAGTGCTCTCAGGTGGGCGAGGAGAGCGCCTTTCATTCCCAGTCCAATTGTGGACAAAACAGAGCCTCTGGCACAGTTTTGTCCTTTTTTTTTTTTTTTTTTTTTTTGTATATTAGATGCAAGGCCTGTGGTTTGGTGGCTCGTATGGTAACAAGGCTAAATCCTATGAAACCCCATAAAACTGTGGGGCCTAAAAAGTGGTTTATTTCTTTTATTTTAATAAGTTTAACAATCTGGACAAATAATTATGGCATCTGACACCCACTGCCTATTTCATGCTGGTTCTCGGGTTCCTCCCTCTTTGCAATTATGTGCTCTTGCTCTTTTCTTTGCTTTTTTGCTTCATATTTTTAGTTGATTCTTAGAGAGGAAGAGAGAGACATGAGAGCTAAACATCAATCTGCTGCCTCCTGCATGCCGCCTACTGGGGATCTGACCAGGAATCAAACTGGCAACCTTCCAGTGCACAGGACAACACCCAACCAACTGAGCCACACTTTCCCGGGCCACCCACGCTTTTCTGAGTGCTGATAGCGGGGGAGGCTTGTAGTGCTTCCCTCCATTCATCAGGGCCTGGCATGAAGAACAGAGCATGTCAATGCACAGATTCCCACTCCTCTCCCACAGACTAAATGACCACATCCACATCTCCATTGGCCAATAACAAGGACAAGCCTGTGAGAAGATAGAGGCCTGGGGGGTTGGGGGAGGGGAGAGAGACAAGTAGGAGGGTGTGCCAACACGTTCTTCATCCCCCCAGAATCCTGAATCAGAACACTTCATCTTATCTAGACTCCTTTGTCGAAAGGCGGATACTAATTAGGAAAAATAACAAAAGATTTACATTTTTCTTTATCGCTCCCTATATCCCATTGGCAACTTATGGGAAAAGCTTAACTCAACTAGAGCTATAATACTTTTTAAAATTTTGGAGCTTCGCTAAGTGGGTCAGGCTCCTTCTTTTCCACCTAAGAATAGAATGCCTTGAATAAAACATTGAACTATTTTATAAAAATTACTAGGAGCAAAATAAAATATGTTTACAAGTTGTGGTTTAGGATAAGATAGAAATATTATTTTAATTAGTTGGCATATTTACATATACCTGCATATATGTATTATTGATTTCACCATTCATATGTCTCAACCGTATGTCAGACATAAACTAAGGTGTGAGGGACTTTAAAACACTGACCTCCTGGAGCCCCTATTTTGGGGGCCAAGGAGGCAAAGAAAGAGGTGTTTATAATGCATGTAGCTGAGAGGTATTGGGACTGTGGCCCCTTTCTCTCCCATTGTCTGTTTCCCTGTCCTCATTGCTGTCTCCCATGCAGGATGGCACGTACGGGCTGAACTGTGCGGAGCGCTGTGACTGCAGCCATGCAGACGGCTGCCACTCCACCACGGGCCACTGCCGCTGCCTCCCCGGATGGTCAGGTGAGAGCCCAGGAAATGGGAATCGTGCCAACCTATGCCCAACGCTGCTCCTTGGTATTTCAAAGACACACACACACACACACAGAAAGAATGAAAATAGAGTCGTCTCGGTAAGCTGACACATTTTTACTCAAGAATCATTACTATTAGGCCTAATGAATCCATGATCCAGAAAGGACTTTTTGTTGAACTGGATGGGGCAGTTCTTCTGAGCCTGCATGGAAGGTCCAGCTGTCAGAATTCAAGCGGCCAGAGGGAAGAAGTGTGAATCGCTTTGAAGCATTTAGCAAGACCTCCGTGGTATTTTGGAGCATTGAGGAAAGAATGATTAAAATAAACCATAAGAATGTAATTAAGCTCACCTTACCAAGAAATATTAAATATTAACCTGGTGCATATACAAATGTTAAAATATTCATGACTAGGATTTGAAAGTTTGAAAACATAGTTTTTCTTACAATAATGTTCCTCATAAAAATTCATAATATGGTTGAATACCAATTTTCTAACCAAATTTCTCCTCATTTATATGACTTCATGGTTTCAACTAGGAAGTTTAACAGACTAACAGGGGTCTGAAAAGAAGAATGATTTTTGCTCATGATGTACAGACGTGGAAGATGGCACTAAATGCCCAAACACATTGGGATCATGTTCTTTTTTATACACCAACTCAAGTCTATGCTAAAAAAAAAATAAATAAATAAATAAACAAACTTTTGAGTACTTTTTAATAAACAGTATAACTGGCAATGCAACAGGACAGTTATTAAACACTAGGAGCCAGGTGCGGTGCCAGTACCATACTGTTTTGATTATTTTAGCTTGGTAGAAAGCTTCAAAATTGGGACGTGTGAATTCTCCAACTTCGGTCTTCTTTTCCAGGATGGTTTTCCAGGATGGTCCCTTGAATTTCACTTCTTTTCCAGGATGGTTTTCCAGGATGGTCCCTTGAATTTCCATATGAATTTTAGGATCAGCATGTCAATTCCTGCAGAGAATTAAGGTGGAAATGTAATGAGGATTGAAGCTATGGATCATTGTGGGGAGTATTGCCAACTTAACAACATTGAGTTTTCAGATCCTTGAACACAGGGTGTCATCAGCACCCTCTTCAGTGATGTCTTCCAGGTCTTGGAAGTTTGTTGAGAGCTTCTTTGGCTTCTGACAGGAGTAACCTGAGAAGAACCGTCATGTACTTGATTTCTAATGTCTGAGAGCTACCGTGGGAAACACCATGGCTGGTGTAATGGATTCTATTTTCTATTGATCGGAGCCGCCCACAGACACAAGGACTCCGTGGCCCTCTAGTTCCTCCTTGACTTGCAAAAGCTGAGGTTCCTCAGACTTCACAATATGACATCCTACCTTCTCATAGTTTCTGTTTGGCTCTCAGTTACTGAATGTTAAAACTACATTATTTCAGGGATTAAAGCAGATTTTGTGACTTCACCAGGCTTCTCGAAACTCTCAAATGGAGTGAGTGGCACTAAGTTCTCAATAACCACAGTGAAACGAAAAAGCCTTTTTAACCCCCAGCAAATTCAAAAATTCCCTTACAGAGAGGCCATATCATTTGTTTTGGGCAAAACTCCACCTCGTCTACTCTTGCCTTATGAATATAGAGGAAATGTGAGGTGTTCCCGAACACACCAGTCACTGCTCAAGCATCCACCTGCTTTGATGATTTAGAACCAGCCTGTGAAATGAACGAGGCGTACATGAGCAAATCAGGAACGAGGATTTGGCCTGAAGCCAGTCAGAAAATGTGTTCGTTGCATTCCACAGTCTGGGTCATGGGGTAAGACAAATGATCCCATCTGGCCTTAGACCTCTGGGCTCCTGTGGGAATGCAGTGGCTTTGTCACACAACGTAATCTTGTAATCCTCTGTCCGTCTGTGACTGGGGTGCTTCTCCAAAGGGAGGAAGCTCTATCACGTGTCGCCCACCGATCCTTTGCTTCATGGTCCCAGTGACTTGTTTATCCGGGACTCTTGTGTGGGCATCGGGTCTGCAAGTATGGAAGGCTGCTGTGAAACGTGTTTCAGAGAGGTCATCTCCACACTCACAGAACACACATGGGATAAGCAAGTGTATGTCGAGGAAAGAGAGTTCCTGAAGTTCCAGACAGTACCCTACACTTGGACCAAGAATTGGCTTTCTCCCCCCCCCCCCCCCAAAAGAAAAGTGAAAGAAGCGTAGCCTCTGTTATTTACACAGAACATCATTACATTGTCAACACTGGATGGGCTCACAGCTTTTCATCGCAAACTTGTTTAGAGTAAATCCTTTTAAAGGACCTTTTCCAGCACAAAGGAAGGTCTGCTTTCCATTCCAGCACCAGTTTCAGGGTTAAATCAATAGCATAAGCCCAGGGAAGCAAGTGCTTCTTTTCCTCTCCTCCCGGTCCTCTCCTCCTGTGGCTACAGGTGAAGTGTCGAGACCTGCCGGACAGGGTAGCAATGGACGGGATGACAGTGAGGCTTTTGTGAAGGAATCGGTGAGATCTGACACAGGGACCTGCGCTCATCTCATGACCCAGTTAACAAGAGAGCCTAGAGACACCACTGACCGCAGGAGTTTGGAGCCAGAGATAGGGGTTAGGAGAATTGTACCCCAAATTACAAAGAAATGGATACACCTAAATTAAGGAAGTCATGTGCTAACCAGTTATGTCAAGGGATTCAGTTTGCTTTCTTACTAGGGAACTCACCTACCACTCCTCATCACTTCATCCGCTACTCTAATGTTTGACTGTCTTTTTCTAGTATTTATTTCTGTTATAATGGAAAGACCTATTTTATAGTCATAAAAAAGTATTTGTAGTGTACTATCACATAGATTAACCAAAACATGCATGCACTTCTATTTTATGTGGTTATTTAAAACCTTAATTTATTGATATTTTTAGCCAGTGGACTACCTTATCAAAAAGGGGAAGATTGCAGTGAAAAAACAAAAACAACAACTAAAAACCACGGGGAAGAATGAAACACCTTTTACACCTTTTATCATTGAAAAGCCAGTCTCATTTTATTGAAGGGGAGCATTCCTGTGACAGAAGCTGTATAACCAGTGTCAAAAGACTACAGGAGGTTTAGAGACGCATTCATACCAGAGAAAAAGTAACATGCTAAATGGATAGAAAAATTATTAGGATGCCAAATAGCCCCTGGAGTCAGGAAAGAGAAAAGGACTAGCAGGGCGCGGTATAATGGAAAGAAGGGGAGGAGAGGAGGGAGAGAGGTGGGCTGCTCATCCAAGCCCTGCCAGGAAGGGGGACACTGGGCGAAGGAAACCTGGAGGCAAGTTTATGAGACTGTGGCTTCTCTACTCTGCTCATCAAGCAGAACTGGCTTGCAGTGGTTCCAGCCCCTCTCAGAAGGGCACCGCCCTTTCCACGCTTCCCCAAACACAGCAAGTGTGACCAGCTGCGTAAGTGAATGGCTCCTTCAGGTTCTCCTCTGTCCTAGGCTGACCTCTCTTGCAGCTGAGAGATGCCTGAATTGTTATAATAAGGGTCAGTGACATGCAAGTGCAAATTCAAGTGCAAATGAATTTTAATGAACGTTTTTAGCCAGTGGACTAAAAAAGTAGTGATGCATCCAGTCAGTCACAAGTGCAAATGACACGCTATCTGACTCTTTATGGTTTTGAAGGGTGGGTTGGAGAGTGTGTATGCAGGAACATCCATCTGTCTATCTATATGGTCTTGCGGGGAGGGGTAAAAGCAGAATGTGGAGTCTCTGAAGGGAGGGTGGATGGAGGGACTCGCCTTCCCGAAAGAAAGGCAGAAAAAGCCCACGTTCCCTGATCTCCCAACCTGCCTAGCAGTCTGTTCTCCACTTTTATCTGGGTCCAACCTAAGGCAGGCCATGCTTTCTGGTGTTTATGTCTTATAGCTGCAAATGCAAACATCTCTGATTTATAGGCCTTATCGGTATGTTTTTATCACAGTGGATTATTTATATATATATATATATATATATATATATATATATATATATATATATATTATTGATTTTGTACAGAGAGGAAGGAAGAGAGATAGAGAGCTAGAAACATCGATGAGAGAGAGTCATCGATCAGTTGCCCCTTGCATACCCCCCACTGGGGATATGCCCGCAACCAAGGTACATGCCCTTGAGCGGAATCGAACCCGGGTCCCTTCAGTCCCCAAGCCGACGCTCTATCCATTGAGCTAAACTGGTCTTGGCCAACAGCAGATTATTTTTTAATGGATCTTCACAATTGGCAGTATCCAAATAAACTTGATAAATGTAACAGTCGTTGAGTGTTCCCACAGTGCTTAGGTGCTGGGCCATGACGATAAGTGGTACCAGCTCCTGGCCTGCTGCGTTCTCTGGGGCAGACACTGCGTGGGCAGAGGAGGGCACGCCAGTCAACAACTTTTGACACTGACGTGTGCCGTCACTTCACTGGCTGAGGATTACAAAAGCAAAGAAGTATTAATATTACGATTAAATACTGTAGTCCCTTTCTCCTATCACCACCAAGCCCAATTATTATTAACACATCTCTCTCGGCTCTAATACATGTTTAACAGCTTACTGCTCAGGAACAAGACCTCAAATTGAAACCATTTCCTTCATTCATTTACGCCCCACATATTTCAATACTGCCATAAGGAATGTAAACAATTAAGCAAGACAAGGAGTTTGGGGGTTACCGCGGAGAAGGGGAAATAACGACACCCCAGATGATTCATTCATTTGCCGCATTCATGGACACGAATGCCTGGTGAATGCTGATTTCCCATGAGGCTGCTGGCCCGGGCATCAGGCATTAAAGGCACGGACATTTCTTTAGAGCTGCTTAGCTGAAGTTTATCGCCATCATTCAGCCATCGCCTAGCAACTTGGGAAGGCCATGAAAGAGCTCTTTGTCCAGAGGCCTGGCAAAAACAGTCCCTTACACATCTCCTTATCAGTGTTAGAGCATTTATCAGGGAGGGGAGAGGGAGGGGAGGCTTCCATTG